ATTATAGAAGTTTCATGAAAAAGCTTCATATTTGATTAGTGATTACCCAAACTAATAATGAGAACTATCAGTAGATACATACGTGTATGTAAAAATCAAGTTTCCTCCTGAAAATGCGGAGTTGACTATGCCGGCCAAATATTAAAAGAAGATTTGATATAAAAAATCCTTATGAGTTTACACTTTCAAAAGAAGTTTTGATATAAATTAACATAATATCTTACATACGAGCAAATTTTAAACTGACAGCACTTTTGAAAAAAATTTCTCACAAACAATTTAGGTTTTCAGAAAATGTACTTCACTTCACGAATTAAACTACAAATACCTATACAGCATGACATCATGAGAAATAGAGACCAAGGGGGGGTTTGGCTAAGCACCTTTTAGTTTATTTACGTGTTTGGTAATCATTTAAAGTACTTATAAGCCACTTGACCTATAAGCTAAAATCAGTCATAAGTCATAAGCTGGTCACTTTCAACTTATGACTTTTTAGTTTATAAACACTTTTAGTTTGACCAACACCTTTACTAGTTCATCCTTAATAATATTTTCTTATTCACAAATTACTTTTCCCAAAATAAATTTCTTGACTTTCTCTTCATTCCGTATTCGTTGTTAATTCTTTTCTTTACAAAGAAAATTTTAATTTATAATCTTCTAGAAAAAATTCAAGAGTATTTTAGTCATTTTAACAAAAGATTAGCTTATCAACACTTTTTGATCAAATAAATTAACTGCTTATTATCAGTTTGAGCACTTCTATCCAAACACGTAAATACTTATTTTAAAAATCAATTTCAGCACTTAAAAGAACTTTTCAACACTTCAAGCTTATCAACTATTTATAATCATCTAATCCAAACGGTCAAAAAGATATGTCTCAGTAACCTTTTAGTTAAATAAATAAGAGTCTTTTCATAATTATTTAACAAGGGGGACTAGTGCAATTGTGATGACATTTTCTTGTTTTAAAACGAAACTTTCGTGTTCTAAGGCCTTGAAAACCTCATTTAGAGTCATCTCAATTTTCGTGCATAGTTCGGGCGCGTAGCCGAAAAGCTTAAATATGAAATTTAGTGAAAAATGATAAGTTTTGACTGTAAAATGAATAAATTTGACTTCGATCAATATTTTGGGTAAACGGACCCGGATCCGTAATTTGACGGTCCCGGAGGGTCCGTAGGAAAATATGGGACTTGGGCGTATGCCCGGAATCAAATTTCGAGGTTCCGAGCCCGAGAAATGAATTTTTAAAGGAAATTATTTTCTGAAATTTTTTAAGAAAATTTGAAATGAAGTTTGATTAGAAAGAGATAGTATCGGGCCCGTATTTTGGTTCCGGCACNCTGAAAGTTTTTATGGAAATTTGAAATGAAGTTTGATTAGAAAGAGATAGTATCGGGCCCGTATTTTGGTTCCGGCACCCGATACAGGTCTTATATATGGTTTAAGTCATTTCTGTAAAGTTTGGTTGAAAACGAACGTCGTTTGACGTGATTCGGACCTAAATTGCTAAATTTGATACTTGATGAAGTTTGAGAAAAACATTCTTGATTTTGAGGTTTGATTCATTGTTATTGAGGTTATTTTGGCGATTTGATCGCACGGATAAGTTCGTATGATGTTTTTGAGTTAGTACGTGTGTTTGGTTAGGGGCCCCGAGGGCTCGAGTGTGTTTCGGATGTGTTTCGGCAAGTTTTGAACTTAGGAAAAAGTTGCAGATTCAGAGAGGTTGCAGGTCTCTGAAGTCAGGTCTCGCGGTCCGCGGTGGAAACTTTGCGGCCGCGGTGGGATTTGTGAGGTCCGTGGTGAGCAAGGCCAAGCCTCCGCGGCCGCGCTCGATTTCTTGCGGTCCGCAGTGGAGCTCCGCGACCGCAGTCCTTTTTATGCGGTCCACGGTGGAGCTCCGCGACCGCAGTCCTTTTTATGCGGTCCGCGGGGAGGGTCTGAGAGGGGTATAAATAGACGGAATTTTCAATTATTTTCATTTTTCAAAACCCCAAAAACATAAGAAGCGATTTTTCAAACAACATTTCTTCTCCAAATCAATTGTAAGTAATTTTAATTAGTTTTCTTCAATCATTAACATCTTTTAACATGATTTCAACTTCAAATCAATTATTTTCATGGGGGAAATTGGGTGTTTTGGGTAGGACCTAGGTTTTTCAAAAAACATGAGTATTTGGACCTCGATTTGGGGTCCGATTTCAAAACAAATTACATATATGAGCTCGTGGGGGAATGGGTAATCGGGTTTAGGTCCGAATTTCGGGTTTGGACCAAGCGGGCCCGGGGTCGATTTTTGACTTTTTGGGGAAATCTTTATAAAACCTATTTTCATGCATTAGAATTGATTCATTTAACATTTATTGATGTAATTACACAACTTATGGCTAGATACGAGCGAATTGCCGGTGGAATCAAGGGGTAAAACTATAATTGAAACTTGAGTTGTGTTCGAGGCATCGAGGTAAGTGTTTGGTCTAACCTTAGCTTGAGGGATTAGGAGTTGTGTCCTATTTGCTATTTGCTATTTGCTTCTTGTCGAGTACGACGTATAGGCATGGTGAGAGTATCTATACGTTGGTGTCAAGCATGACCGTGAGTCTTATATTGTGATTTTCATGATTTCGTTGTATTATTCATGACTTGGTGAAGATTTGTAATTGTTGTATAAAGTTTGTGGAAAGAACTGTGACCTATGAACATTGAGGAGCATTGGCTCGAGTTGTGAAATAAATTGTAAAAGTATAAGTGATAATCGAACCTCTAGAGCATTGGCTCTAGTTGTGAAGTGAATTGTGAAGTAAAAATTGAGAAAGAGATGAGATCATTATGTTGTCATCCTTGTCGGGCTATTGTTGATTTATTTGTTGTTCCCTTTCCGGGATTTAATTGTTTAATTGTTGTTCCCTTGCCGAGATTTAATTGTTTAACTGTTGTTCCCTTGTCGGGATCTCTATTACTATTTACTTTATTCCATTGCCCCTTTGCTTGTGATTGTTGTTTGGGTGAGGAAGAGTGCTAAAGCACGAAGGGTGATGCCGTGCATTGTTTGTTATTGTGATTAAAGAGTATAAAGCACGAAGGGTGATACCGTACCGCACGACGTACCATTCCGTGCCGAATCTATGGATTATATAGTGAGGAAAGAGAGTAAAAGCATGAAGAGTGATGTCGTGCACATTTTGATTATATGATTGTTTTGGTGAGGACGAGAGTAAAAGCACGAAGGGTGATGCCGTGCACATTTTTATTATATAACTACTTTGGTGAGGTTGAGAGTAAAAGCACGAAGGACGATGCCGTGCAAATTGTTGATTTCTGCTTCCTTGTTGATATTCTAGTTATGTTGTTTCTTTCCTTACGTGATGCATTTCTATTAGTAGCTAATATCTCCCCCACAACATGTTTCTCCCTCCCACGTTGACTAGTTATTTCTGTATATATATATATATATGAACCGCACAGGTTTATTTGGTAGTCTGGTCCTAGCCTCGTCACTACTTCGCCGAGGTTAGGCTAGACACTTACCAGCACATGGGGTCGGTTGTGCTGATACTACACTTTGCACTGTGTGCAGATCCAGGAGCAGCTTTTGGACAGTAGTTGGAGTGCTTCCTTCATTCCACCCGGAGACCCAAGGTAGACCTGCAGGCGTCCGCAGGCCCTGGCGTCTCCCTCTATCTCTATTTCCTGTTTCATTTTCTTTTGTTCAGAAACAGTGTATTGTATTTCTTCAGATCTTGTATGTAGTAACTCTTAGACAGTCTGTGACACTGTGACACCAGGTTTTGGGGCATTTGAGGTTTAAAAAGTTGTAATCGACGTAGCTTTAAGATATTTAATTGTTGATTTCCGCTTATTTATTTAAAATTTCGCTTTTATCATATTATCGACTTGTGTTTGTTAAAAGAAATTAAAAATGAAAATGTAGCAATTAGTTAAGGTTTGGCTTGCCCAACTCCCATTAGTAGGCGCCATCACGACTCTCAAGGGTGGAAAATCCGGGTCATGACAACAATCGACCAAAACGAAGCTGACGACACCTTTAATTACTTCTCTCTTCTACTTATTTTTTATTAAAATTTTTATAATAGCGATTTTGAAATGGCATTATTCTAAACTAAATGAAGGGGAAAAAAAAAAGATCAAGTCAACTCCCAAACAGCCCTAGAAGACAGATGGCGTGGGCGCGTATTCTTCGCAAGCACCCTGGACTACGGATGCATCAATAAACATATTATTGCGCAAAAATAATTCAATTTTTGCATTAAATTAAACAAAAAAATGTAGGACACGTATTTTTTTGTATGTCAATTTTGCTCAATACAAATATATTTATATGATATGCATTTTCACTTTAATTTGTCAATCTTAGGATTAAATTATTCAATTTTGCATAAGCACCTGATACATATTTCTTAAAATTGTCTTATACGCCAAATTAACGTGTCATTGCAAAACCATACCTGCACTAGATGACATCATAATACATATGACTAGTTTATTTTAAGGCGTAATACATACGGAGACACCTAAAGTTGGCACAATCTTTCACTTAGACACTTAAATTAGGCCTCTTTCCAATTAGACACAAGAATTCATTTCAAACTGTACCAATTAAACACAAAACTATGACATGGCAAAGAAAGTATTTCTTAGTCTCCTTGAGCGCGTGAATGAAATAAACATGACATTTTCCAATTAATTAAATATTAAAAATATATTTGACCACAAAAAACCCTATTTTCACTAAATCCTCCATCCCCCTCCCCCCCAACCCCAAACTGCGTTCCATCATCTTCTTCATTTTCCCACCATATCAGCTCCCCCACTATCGTATAGTACATTTGTTTTTTTCCCTTTTTTTTGGCTAATCTCTTTTTCTCCATTTAATTGGGCAAAAATGCAAATATTTGATTTCACCGACAAAATTGTAAATAATGTCTCACGCAGACAACAGTATCAGATAAGAAGAAACTACAAACTAAAGATTCAATTGAGATTCCAGCTCCTCAATCTTCCTCCTCAGCCTTATTCTCAGCAATGTTGAAGTACCTCAGCTCATAGACATTGCGATCCTTGTTTGCAGAAATAACTCTGAGCCAATCACGGACATTGTTCTTCTTGAGATACTTCTTGGTCAGGTACTTCAGATACCGCTTGGAGAAAGTGCTCTCGGAGGTGACAGTGATTTTTGTTTTGTCACGGGTGACAGTGACGATATCACCAAGAGCTCCAACCTTTCCTCCGACCTTGATGCGCTCCTGCAGAAACTTCTCCAGTGAAGCGATATCCATGATCTTATCCTTAACAGGCTTTGAGAAATCAATCACGAAGGTTGCTCCCTTCTTCTTCCCACCCTTGGTGGCTCCGCTGCTTCCTCTACTCATCTTCTCCTACGATTAAAGAAAAAACACAAACTCTACCTGAGAAGCTGCGGAGATTTGGGAGGAACTATGAGAAGAGTTTTTTTTCCCTTTCATTTTTCCATATGAAACTTTTCTTTTATTCATTTTTCTTGTTTTCACACTTAAATATAAAGGGTTCGCCAACTATTCTTTTTCCTCCTTTTATTATCTCACTATCTATCTCTTTGAGTTTGACCCATTGCCACCTACGACAGCTTCTTTGCTCCCCTCCAATGGCTACCCCTGAGAAGTAACCATCTGAGTTAATATGTGAAAGAAACTCTACCGGCGAACTCTGCTGCCGGAGAAAATTACTACTACCGGTGGATTCAAACAGACCCGGATCGCCGGTGAACCTAGTTTCCGGCTTAACAAGCTCCGGAAGATGCTGCTGAGTAGTTGATGGGTGGGGTGGTGGTTTGTTGGGTGAGTGTAAAATGGGAGAAGAAGGGTTAAGAACCACTTCGTTTTCGGTATCGGATTCGAGAAGTGCCTCTAACCATGTTGCCGGAGCTGAATTTTAGTAGAAATAACACTATATAGCTGAGGTGGACAGTGAGGTGGACAAAAAAATGATGTGGCACGATTTTTAATGGTTACTTTTGCCACGTAGACAAAGATTGCAGAACACGCGCTTGGTTAATTAATAAGCCAGCAAACGTATCTAATTGGTATGAGAATTGCCTAAGAAACGCGTCTAATTGGAAAGAGGCCTAGTTTAAGTTATTAAGTGAAAGATTGTGCCAACTTTAGGTGTCTCCGTATGTATTAGGCCTTATTTTAATGAGACAAAAGAATAAAAGAGAGAAACTAAAAAAATTCATTGGCTTATATATCTGTTTAACCAAAAATATGATTCTTTTGTCAAAGCTAAAGACAAATAGAAATTCGGGCTACTGATAATCAGGAGACGAAAAAGAAATAATAGACTTTTTGAGAATGACAAATAAGCAGTAAATAGGTTTGTATTCCAATGTAATGTTGATGATATCCTCTGTCCTTACAAATGACGAGACCTCCTCCTTTTATAGTTGATTCTAAGTAAAGGAGTAATACCTTAGTCTTAATGAGACAATTATGAGCAATAAATGACATTAAATAAGACGTTACACAATCATTCCTATTTAATACCAATTCTCTAACGTATTGGGTATTTAATATTGAATTTGGACTTCTTTTCGTCATCATATCCATGTCTTCAATGCCTTCTGATCTCTTGGCTTTAAATGACCTAAATAGGTACGAAGCTTGTATTATTCGAATTGCCTCTCGTGCCTATTTAGCTTTCCTTTCCCCGTATCTGTTGTCACTCGTGCCTCTTAACTGAT